AGCGGTTCAAATGTCTGTCCCTCAAGCATTATATTATGCCTCTTCTTTAATGAACTGAATCATATTTTCCCATCAGAGTTTTTATTCTTAATCATGTGCTTAAACTTGTTTTCCAGGTAAAGATTTCAGCCGAAAGTTGTTTGGACTCTATTCCGGATGATATTTATCGTCAAGCTTGTGTTTATACTACAGAGGAAGCATTGGCTAGTTGCCAGGAAGTGGGTTACCCAGCCATGATTAAAGCTTCTTGGGGTGGTGGTGGAAAAGGAATTAGAAAGGTTTGCTCCTGTCCATAAATGAATTATGACTAACATTTTATGTTTTAACCATTAATATAATTAATTTGATAAACTTTTATCTGGGGTTATATAGGGGCACTAAGCTAGAAAAAGCTGCCTCAGTTTTTTAGTTTGAAATATGAAGAGCAGTGTTGATCTTTCTGTTTTTTTTTATTGTTTCTTGTTTTGCTGTAAGATTTGGTATAAAGCAAATTTATTCATTTTAGGTTCATAATGATGAAGAAGTTAGGGCTCTATTCAAGCAAGTGCAGGGTGAAGTTCCAGGCTCTCCTATATTCATAATGAAGGTGGCATCTCAGGTGAGATAATGCAACTTGGAATTCTTGGTTTTTCATTCGTGGCTCACTAATTGAGGCCAGGGAGATGAACTTGCATCTATTTTTTCCCTTTGTAAATAGGGTTCATCTTCTTTTATTTAGAAAATGAATTTTGCAGTGTATGCTTGGTGAAGTTTTTATGTTATTTAATTATGTCAGCCTTGGGACATCAGTGTGAATAGTTTTCTGCTTGATATAAATAAAATATGTGGTTTTATTATTTCTCTCAATACAGAATTCACCTGTTTGTTCCTTTGTTTAGAGCCGGCATTTGGAAGTTCAGTTACTGTGTGATCAGTATGGCAATGTTGCTGCTCTTCATAGTAGAGATTGTAGTGTTCAGCGAAGGCATCAAAAGGCAAGCTTTCTGACACTTATTTTTTGACAGTTATAAGCCTGAATTTCTCACTAGATTGTATTCCAGTATATCTTTTGGTTATGCCATAAAATTATCAAGTTGTGCTTATTCCATTAATTAAATTTTGAGCATTCCTCTTATTTATTGATCCAAGATATAATAACAGTTTATCCTGACTTATTTATTATATTACCTTTTTTATCCTTTTATCCTTCTCATTGAGTTTAATCTTCTTATCAAAGTGCTCAGCCTAATTTTGAAAACCAGAAAGGAATTGCATGTTATTGTACTCATTTACAGATTTTCCTAAAAAAAATTGCTGTTTTACTCCACCAGATTATTGAGGAGGGCCCAATCACTATAGCACCTCTTGAAACCGTGAAGCAATTGGAACAGGCAGCAAGGAGGCTTGCCAAGTGTGTGAATTATGTCGGTGCTGCAACTGTTGAATATCTTTTCAGCATGGAAACAGGAGAATATTTTTTCCTGGAACTCAATCCCAGGTTACAGGTATTTCATTTTTCCTACAATGCATTTAGAAAAAAAAATCTTGGTATTTATGTAATATCTGCATCATATTTTGAAAAAGTATCGTTTCAGGTAGAGCATCCTGTCACTGAATGGATAGCTGAAATAAATCTGCCTGCTGCTCAAGTTGCTGTTGGGATGGGAATCCCTCTTTGGCAAATTCCAGGTATGAATTTTTATTGAATTTAGCTAGAGTAGAGTGAAGTGCCAAAATAATCCTCCGACTATTTTTATGGGGCCACAATAGAAGTGTGGAAAAGTTTAGGGGATTCAGGAATTTGTTGGCTTACTAAATTTTTAATGTTATTTTAAATACTAAAAAGATACCCGAGGAGTGGAGAAAAAATATTTCGATCACTGTTTTTAAGAATAAATGGGATGCACAATAATGTGCAAATTATAGAGGAATTAAATTAGTGTGTCATGCATTAAAATTATGTGAGTAATTGAACATAGGTTAAGACGTGATACAAATATTTTTCAAAATTATTTTTGATTTATGTCAGACAAGTCTACTATGAAGCATGCATTTATTGAAAAGTTTGTGATATGATCCGAAGTAGAATTGACACATTTTTTCACAGGAATTAGGGCAAACATAAATTTTATTTCTCGAACTACAAATCAAAGCAATGCAATTTAATAACTCACACGAATACAACAGATAAACCCCTACAATTCAAGAGGTTGGTGATCTCCCAATTCCTACAATTTGAGAGACAGAAAATCTCTCCTAAAGCCTGAACCGAAGATGCAAGACTCAATCTCATGAATAAACTTAATCCTTTGAGAACTTGTAATTTTTGATCCTTACAACGGTGTTCTGGAATAAATTCCTCATTACCCAGAAAATATAACCCCTTGCCTCTTTTTTCCTAAATCTTTGTCTCTGTAAGACGCTTGAGTTTTGTTGCCGACCGTGGTTCATTATTTTTGTCCGGTGCAGTCTTCCTCTGGACTACCACTATTTGAGTTCTTGGTATCGTAGTGTTTTGAGCAGTTCGGTACAACGCTCCTTTTTTGCAGCTTTTGCTTTCCTTCTTTATATGGTTCTTGTCTTCTACCATCTGGGCTAGCTCTGTCATCTCCCTTAATCCCGCGGTCTCAATATTTGGAGTATTGCCTTTATGTCAGGCTTTAAACCCTTCATGAAATTCCCTCCAAGTCTGCTTCAGAAATACCCTTCAACCGTCTCGACAAGAGCTCAAATATCCATATGCCATAATAGTCCTCTCTCGAGTCAATACATATAATTGCTCGTGTAGGTCTCCTTCCTGAATGACTTAGAAATATTTCAACAAACAATCCTTAAACTCCTCACGCGAATGGATCAAATATCTAGTCTTCCTTTACCGAAACAGACTAGGGCTTTCCCCTGCAAACATAGCCCTAGGAGGAGGTTCTTGATGGCGGATGCTTTCCTCATTGCTTAATCTCTTCTCCATGTTTCGACCCACCGATGCCTGTCTCCATCAGAAATCTCTAATCCACTCCCATCAGAGCTCTGAGAGGATGTTCTTGATGTTGGATGCTTTCCTCCTCATATTCCTCTCGTCTGATTTTTTTCTCTTTCGATTTAGCCAATAAATCTCTGGTCAACCTTTGGGCAGGGTTTTTAAACTGAACCGCCAACGAGGTCTTGGATTACATATCAATAGGCTTCCTTTGGATCCTCTCCAAGCTCTCAAATCGGTTGTCAATTGCAAAAAGCCTTTCCTCTATCTCAGATTTAAGTTGCCCCCACTTCTTCCTCCAAATTCTTCTTTGAATCATCTATTTTCTTGGCCAACATCATTTCCTGTCACTAGGGCACGCTCAATCTCAGATCTGATTGTTGGCTAGGATCACAATTAAGGCATGCTCGATACCGTCGCAACCTTCCCCACTACACTACAATCCCTTCTTTTTCTTAGAGAACTTGAACTACGATCTTATTGCAAGGCTTCAACCATGGCCCTATACAAGCTCGTCAACGCTTTCCCAGCAAGCTTTGATGGTGTATGTATCTCAAGGCTAGGGAGGAGGAAGATGGAGTTTCAGGTCTCTATGCGTTGCTTCGCTGCCTTTCCAACTAGCTCTATCGTGACTGTATTTTGCCCACAGAGCAAGAGGAGGCAGAAGATGGAGTTTTGGGTCTTGGTATACGCGATCCTTCATGTTAGAGCCTTCCTAACTATCTTTGATTGTTACTTTTCCCGAAGACGGCGCAGGAGGAGGGGAAAGATGGAGCTTCGAGTCTCTATTCATGCACTAGAGCACGCCAGGTCAAGCGATCATATCGCTCTGTATGCTGAAATCATCTCCTTCTAAGCTGTGATTTGATTTAGCTTTCGGTGAGTCCATCGATCCTCTCTACTGTCGATCTGATTCTCAGAATTTTGAGCTCTAAAACAAACACTTGTAAAACGGCGTTTTATTCAAAAGCTGGTTTCAAAAGCCCAAAAAAAGGACTCTTAAGCTCATATTTTTTTGCTTTAGTTATGCATTTTTTTACTGGTGATTTACAAGAGGATGTATCTAGTGTATGCTTTTTGCTCATGATATCTTTTTTGTGGATAAGACTAGAGAAAGTGTTCATGAAAATTTTGGATTATAGAGGCCAGCTTTAGATTTTAAAAGCTTTTATTTAAGCTGATTTAAAATTGAATACATGGAATGTAAGTTTGGTGGTAGTAGTTCTAGTGGCGTGGTTGTAACAATGGGTGATCAAGTCATTAAAGGGAGTGTACATTTTAGATATCTCAGGTCTATTGTTTCAAAGTGATAGTGATAGAGATGGGGATGTTATTAGTAGAATTCAAGTTGGATGGTTGAAGTGGAGGAATGCATCGGGCCTATTGTGTGATAGAAAATTTTTGCTTGGACCTAAAGGAAATTGACTTGCAATGCTTTATGGTGCAGAATGTTGGTCTATAAAAGAGAAGTATAAAACTTAGTTAAGTGTTGCTGAGATGAGAATGCTTAGATGGATGAGTGGCTTTACACTTAGAGACAAAATACAAAATGAATATATCCGTGAAAGGGTTGGTGTAGCTTTAGAGGTGGATAAGATTAGAGAGTCGTCTTAGATAGTCTTGTCACATTAAGCGTCAAGGATCTGATGATTCTATCGGGAGAGTAGATGTTTTGGATTTGACTTATGGAAAGAAAGTTAGAGGTAGGCATAAAAAGACTCGCGCATGTTGTATAAAAAATAATTTTAATATATTAGAATTAAATGAAAATATGGCACTCAATAGGACACAATGGAGAAAAAAAAATTGATTTAGTCGACCCCAATTAGTAAGGCCTGTTGTTGTAGTCTATAAAAGTGCCAAATTTGTCATTAAAATCTTCTAATATGGGTTGAAATAATTCCCAGTAAGGACTATTTTAGCCCATATTAAAAGAATCCGGAGACTAAATTGGTATTTTTATAGATTCCAGGACTAAAATGACCCCCTATAAAGAGTTGGGGGATTATTTTAACAATTTTCTCAATTTAGCTAAGAGCCTGCATGTGACAATAATTCTATTTTTTACATTACCATAAAATTTCAGAAATCCGACGTTTCTATGGGATGGATTATAGTGGAGGATATGATGCTTGGAAGAAGACATCGATTGCTGCAACTCCATTTGATTTTGATAAAGCAGAATCTGTCGGGCCAAAAGGTCATTGTGTGGCTGTTCGGGTAACCAGTGAGGATCCTGATGATGGATTCAAGCCAACCAGTGGAAAAGTGCAGGAGCTTATTTTCAAAAGCAAGCCCAATGTTTGGGCATACTTCTCTGTTAAGGTATGTCATCTGAGAGGTCATGATCCTATATTTCAAGTAGTAATCTTTGAAGATAAAAATAAAGATCTTTGCTGTTTTATATGGTTCTCATTAAAGAATCAGGTACCTGCTAGTAAATATGTAAAAAAATAAAATAGTAAATTTTGGCTGTGTTAACATTTGAACCTAGCTGCTGTCGGAAGATTTTTCCAATTCAAACTAATATTTATGTGTTTCTTATTTTTAAAAGTAACTATGTAAGTAATATCAAAAAGGTAATTTATGTGAAGGTATAACCCTTTTAGATATATAATTATATATCATAAAATAACAGAGATGCTAAGCTAAAATTTCACCTACAATCATTACTTCATTGTACTTAATGAACTATGTCCGGAATATGTTTGATAATTAGCTAATGCAGACGAGCATCTTTTGCTTTAGTTGGTAGAATTTAGAGTGACATGAAATGTTGATTGAAAATATACAGCAAATTTTTTGTTTCATAATCAAGCCATTATACGTGGTGCTTTATTGTATTATCAGCTGTAAACAAGTTGGAAAATTGAACATTCTTTTTCGTTGTTTGTAAGGTCGGGCTTATGCATTGACCATAAAAGTAGGAATATGTAAAATAGCCCTAATTTTTTTGAAAATTAATATCTTTATCAAGACTGGAGCCATGAAAAGTTAATAATAATTACTTTTTTTTATTAAATAGTCAGATCATTTAGCTATTGATCAAAGAAATTTAATTTTTATGCAGTCTGGTGGTGGCATTCATGAATTTTCTGATTCTCAATTTGGTACGTCTTTCATATTTTATGGTTGTTATTTATCATTACGTGTTTATGATATTCATGTTCTAAAACTTTACTCTTATGATAGGACATGTTTTTGCATTTGGAGAGTCTAGAGCCCTAGCAATAGCTAATATGGTTCTTGGACTAAAGGAAATTCAAATTAGAGGAGAAATTCACACAAATGTTGACTACACAATTGATCTTCTTAATGTAAGTTATTTATCCCGCAATACTTTATTAATCCTTATTTGCAGACTACTGCAGCACCCATTAATTTACTTTTCAGGCTACGGAGTACAGAGACAATAAAATACACACTGGTTGGCTTGACAGCAGAATTGCAATGCGTGTTAGAGCCGAAAGGCCTCCTTGGTACCTTTCGGTCGTTGGAGGAGCTCTTTATGTAAATATAACACTAAAATATTATTCTATGTCACTATATTGTTATTTTGTTTTCGTTTATTTAACTGGGGAATGTGTTTATCTGATATTTAATCTGCAGAAAGCATCAGCAAGCAGTGCTGCTATTATCTCTGATTATGTTGGCTATCTTGTCAAGGGGCAGATACCACCCAAGGTAATGAAATTAGGAGTTTTATTTGTTCTTGAAACTGGCAATTTCTCATTATCTTCTGCTGACTATTAGATTCTCATTTAATATGTAGCACATATCACTTGTCAACTCCACTGTTTCTTTGAACATTGAAGGAAGTAAATATACGGTAACTTTTTGTATTCTTTTTTTAGAGAACCGTAATGTTTTCGAGGAGTATTTATTTGTTTCATCTTTTTGTTGGTTTCCATCGATAGATTGAAATGGTGAGAGGTGGACCTGGAAGCTACAGGTTAAGGATGAATGGATCAGAGGTAGAAGCAGAAATCCATACTTTGCGTGATGGGGGACTTCTGATGCAGGCAAGCAAGCAATAGCTTCCTCTCATCTTTGTTTGGTGAAATTATCAAGATATTCGAGACTTGGTGCATCTTTTTTCCTTTCAACTTCTATACTTAGATTTTTGTGTGTTCCTCGGATCTAAAGCTTATTTTTTTAGTAATATAAGATTTCATTGTCATCATCGGCATTATCCTAACTATTTTGGGTTGGTGCTATGAATTCTCTTTTTTTGTTTGTAACAATTTAGTGTTTGCTACTCCAGAAATCATTTGGAACAAATCCTTCTTTTAAGTCCACCTCTTTTCCTTCCAATTCCTTTGACATGAGTTTTAAAAGTTAGTCTAATGGGCATACTTTCTGATGTTAGAAGCACATACCCAAACCACTTCGCTTTATCTTTTGTTTTGTTACCTTCTATGCTCAGATTTTTGCATGGTCCTCGGATTTTAAGCTTATAATTTAAGTCATATACTATTTCATTGTCATCATTGGCCTTATCTTAACTATTTGGGGTTGGTGCTATGAATTTTCATTATTTGTTTGTTCCAATTTAGTGTTAGCTATTCCAGAACTTCTTTTGAACAAATCCTACTTTCAAGTCTATCTCTTTTCCTTCAAAGTCCTATGACATGAATTTTAAGAGTCAGTCTAACGGGCATGTTTTCTAATGCTCGATGCACACGCCCAAACCACTTAGGTTTTTCTTTTGTTTTGTTATCTCTCAAATCTTTCTCCCAATATATTTAGTTTTTAATCAGTCATTCTTAGTTTTTCCATGCATTCTCATTTCCACAACACTCAATTGAGATGTCACTCAGAAGTTTTATTCTAATATAATTATTTTTTAATCTATCCTTCCTAGTTTGGACATGCCTTCTTATTTTCACAACACTCAGTTTATATTTTATGCTCTATATAAAATTGCCTACCCAATTGCAACTTTATAAAATTTTCCTTTTGGTCTACATGCTACCCTTTTACCATAAAAGAACTCTCGAGTCATTTCTTCATTGTTGCCATGCAATTTTTACTCTAGAAGAAGTTATATTCTAATTTATGTCTCCATTTTTCTATACAATAATTAAAATAATTTAACGTAATTTACCTTTATTTCACTTTATCATTGAATAACAATTTTATCATTTTATCCTATTAAATTATAAATCATATTTAATTTTTTTCTATTAATTCCAAAGTCTCCATCTTCTAAACATTTCCTCCACCTTTCTATTTTCTTGCTTATTTCAATAAATTTCAATATTATCTACAAAAAGCATAGAATAAGATACTTCTCTCTTAATATCATTTATAAGCATCGCCATAACCAACAGAAAAAAATATAAATTCATTTTTGATTCCTGATGTAAAACAATAGTAATTTGAAACTATTTAGTCACTCGACAACTAAATATACAAGTCAGTGCTCCATCATATGTATTCTTACTAACATTAGTATATCTTTGACGTGCACCTTTCCATCTTAAATCACATCAAACCTATTCCCGTGATAATTGATAATTTATTTGTGGGTCCTGAAGCTGTGTTGAACTTCATAGTTTAATGGTTATTTTTTTCGAGTTTGACTGACATTGTATTCTCAAGTCATTCATGAAGAAGTCTTCGCACCTATCAACTAAAGAAGGCTTGGTAAGATTATTTAACTTACTTTCTGGTTCATCTGTATTACAGTTGGACGGAAATAGTCATGTGATCTATGCTGAAGAAGAAGCGGCTGGTACTCGCCTTCTTATTGATGGAAGAACTTGTTTATTACAGGTATACATGATTTCTTTTCTACATCAATAATTCATCATGAATTTTTACGGGCTCAGATCGTTTCTGCAAGATAGATCATAACTGAACTTTCTTTATATTTTCGGTTGGGCATTGCTTATCAGTATCATGGTGTTTATTGGTGATAATAGACCATTTAACACACACAATTCGTTCTTTGCAACGTCGTTAGTGCCACGAAGTCAAAATAAGCATTTGGTCTACAAATTGGCCTGTGGAGGTAATTGTTAATTTAGATCAGAAAACTCGCCTGTTCTTGTTGAAATAGTTCAAGGTGGGAAAATAGATAAAAATATCTTGGTAATGATTAATAAATTCTAGGTGGTTTTATATTCAATTAACTTAGCGAAAGTGTGATGTGGGCATATTTTTTGAGTTTTTATTTATCATGAATATTGGAGCTATTTAATGTCTTTTAGATTTTGTTACTTATGTTATTTTTGTATGTCTTTAGGTGCGCTGGCAGTTTGTTCATAGTTTGTTATTTCTTTTATCTATAACATTTAAGATATTGTTTGCCTTGGATATAATTCTTATTGGGAATGTGAATTATCTTCATCATTCCAAGATCATTTATCAAGTTTAAAAACTAGAAGAATTCTGGGAGAGGTTTTCTCCATTTACATGCATGGAGGTTCCTTTTCTTGCTACTGTTTTATATCTTTTCTTCCGTTTCAATTTCTCTATTGACTCTCTTATTTTTTTTTAAGTTTCCCTACGTTGTGCAATGCTTAATTTGTCATAGGTGAAATTCTGGATGGAATTTAGAGGTTTCTCATGAATCTTTCTCGTATTTACAGCCTGATAGAAATTTTTACAAGTTTCAACTCATAATTCTGTATTAATATTGTTGAACTGCCTGCTGTTTCAGCAAACTTGAAATTGTCTTGTTTATCATGTTTTTGCTGATATTATATTTTGATGATAAAAAATTAGAAGTTTTTTTTAGTTTAGTTTCTTCGAGTTTTACTTTTCAATTGTGTGTCTTTTGCAAAAGTATTCATAAAGCTTGATCTGGGTTTTTAATGCCTGTCTATATTGCACAAATATATTTTATTGCTTTCTAGGCTGTAAACAATTCAGTTATTAATGTCAAGTTGTATCATTTGATTGATTAATACTTCACTTTATATCTTAGGTGCTTGTTATTAGAATTATGGGGCATTTACTTACACACCACTCAATTCTTATATATTTACATATGTAAAACCTAAATTTTAATCTTTACATTTATACCCTCCATATCATTCGTATCACATAAAAAACACCAATATTTTAACTTTTAAAAAGTGAAAAACACCTTTTCATGCATAGGTGAGGCGGCCTATATGTAAAAATTGTGGTTTAGGTGTTAGATACGTAAATACATAAGAATTGAGTGGTTTGTATGTAAATCTTCCAAGAATTATTAGAATTATTATGCTAGAAACGTTCCCATATCAATATTATCACTTATTATTAGTAGTTACTATAATAAATTATGATATTTATCATTGTAATATATATTTATTATTGTGGATATTCTCCTTGATTGTATTTCTATTATTGCTCAATTCTCTTGAGTTTATACAATCATTTTGGTACAAGTAGCAAATTTAATTGAGGAAAGATATAGCCTTTTTTTATTTTCTAACATGGCATTAGAGCCTCCCCTTCTAGCTTATTTTCTACCCAGAAATCATTCTATTGTTGTTTGCAAGAATTTTTTTTTAATGCTAATTTTTTGTTTCCATTCATGGTTATTTTGTTTGGTTCTGTCGCTTCAGCTTGATTTTGCTATCACTATCATCTTTCAACAAGCTGGTATTTGCCCCCTTTTTCTCTCAGTTCTGTTTGACTTGGTTGCTTTCGCTTGATTCTTCTTGTTGTTATTATCTCTTGCCAATTAGAAATTTGCTCTCTGTTTCTCTCCAGTCTTCTTTGTTTTGTTGCTTTCACTTTAGTTCTGCTCATCTCTATCACTAAGGGGAGAATTGCTATCGGTTTCTCTTGAGTTTGTGCTTTTGCTTTGTTCCTCTCATTGTTATCATCTCTCACCTGGGAGGGCTTTGCCATCTTTTTTTCTTAATTATACTTTTTTGTTTAACAAACTCTCGATGCTTTTTACTACTTTATCATTAGTTTATGGGGGAATGCTAGGATTATTATAGTTTTTGTACTTAACAATATTACCTTATCCATGTTATCACGATTGGTTAATATTTATGCGGGAATTAATGGTATTATTAATGTAATAAATATTGCGTATATTCTTCTTTATTATTTTTCTTTAATTTTCTATTATGTTGCCTTTATCTAAATATATTTGTGCTAGTGCCAAATTTAATCCAACAAAGATGCAGCCTTTTATGTTTTCTAACATTTATGATATCATCTATCCCGTTATCATTTTGTGGTTCATGGGATTCACAAAGTAAAATTCATGTTTAAGATTATTGCATAAGTGAGTGGTATGAGAAAACTATTAGGTCATGGATTTTTTTTTTATAAATTACATGGTTCATATTTATTTATATTCTTATGCAGTTTGATTTTAAATTTTTTTTTTTAATTTTTACTAGTTTTGGAGAATTTGAATTGGAGTTTTTAGTCATAAGAAATGCCTAATGTTTTTTGGTGTTAATTTTCACGGGCAACTACAATAATATCTATACGGCATCACCGTGCTTGCAAGTATGAAAAAAATGGTCAGTTGTGCTGACTCAGTTTTAATCTTTAGTAGAATATTAGAATAATAATATGCAAATATCTGAATTAATTACTTTGATTTACTTTCTTTTTTCTCTTTATTTTATTTTTATTTATTTTCTTGCTAGTAGATCCTGTAATGGGTATTTATACCCCTCTGCATCAATAAAAACCGCCTTGGGTTCTATTATAATATGGTATCAAAGACAAGGCCTTGACCTAGTTGTCGTGCTCTCTGCTAGGCCTGATTTCAATCGCCAAAATTTTTGCTCTCCTTGTAGCCAGACATATATTCTCTTTTCTAATCGAGCTGGCTAGCTTATCACATCTAGGTTCCAGTCTACTAGGTTCTCGTCTGCTTCAGGCCCTCAGCTTCAGTAGGATGCCGCAACCGCCAAGATTACTTCTTTAGCACTAAGGATCTGTCAAACTCCTCTGCTTTAGGTTCTTGTTAGCTTCAAGTCGTCTGCTTTAGCATGATGTTGTAGCCACCAAGTTCACTTGTCTTCTTCAGGATCCGCCATCCAGAACCTCTGTTTTGATCACCAAGGGCACCTTCCAGCCATCAGGAACATTGCCTAACTGACCGGCCTCCCTCTAGGTTTGTCGGAGCCCCTCCTGAAATCTTCTTCCAGCCGACCAGGTCTAGTGGGAACCCTTCCAGAGCCAATATTCTTTCAAGAAATTAGAGATGTCTCGATAACATAACATCTCACGTGCCTCAGTCAGAGTCATGATGGACTCCTCCAACACCGAGCCATCATCAGAAGATGTTCTTGATTCCACCAGAGGATTTTCAACCTCCGTTCCTCTGCAGACTGGAGGACAAGAAAACAACATGAACTTCTTGATTATAACCTATAAACTAAATATCATTAACTTTCTGCAATGGTCTCAATCTTTGTCTTTATTCATCAAAGAGCGTCGGAAATTCGACATTCTCGTTGGTGTTATTCGTGAACCTCCAAAGACTGACCCAACATATGGAGCTTTGGAAGTGTAGAATTCCGTGGTCATGTCATGGCTGATTAACTCGATGAAGACTTTTATTGGCCGATCACATATGTTCCTCCCTTCCGCTAGTGTCTGTCTGTGATAACTTCTTAGATGTTGAAAATTCCAGCCAACTCTAAGGCAAAACAAAGATCAAGGATTATGCTCGAGTACTACAATGATCTTGTTGCATTATGGATAAATGCGACTTGTATTGTGACTACACCTGGGAATCTCTGACTGACATATCTCTTTTCTAGAATATTGTTAAGGACCACACGTTCCAATTTTTGACAAGCCTCAACAAAGATCTTAACAAATTATGGGGTTGTATCCTTGGCCGAATCCTCTTTCTTCTACTCTTGTTGCTTTCAATGAGATTCATTACGAAGAGAAGCAGATACTTGTCATGTTTGGTGCGTCCACTTTGTCTGTCGAAGTATCTGATTTGGTTTCTAATAGTGCTCAACCCCGAGTTGATCACCCCACCTGTGACTATTGTCACAAACCCAACCACACTCATGTTAAATGTTGGAAGCTCCACGAGAAACCTACATCCAAACCTTCGGCCAAATCTTGCACTGCCAAGGGTATCGCTACAACTTCTGAGTCCAAAACAATACAACTGGCCTCTACCCAGAAAAATTCAAAATCGTCCAATTCTCTTAAAAATTAAATGGAGCACTTAATCACACTGCTTGGATCCAGTCTGCTCTCTTCCGGCCTGTCAACCTCCCGCGGTCGTCAAGGTACCAATTATATGACACTCATTTTTTTTGCTCATTCTAGTTCATGTATCATTGATTCAAGTGTCACAAACCACAAGCTTTTAACCCTTCTATACATACTATCCTTGCTCAGGAAAAGACACTGCTAAAATTACTGACGGGTCCCAAAGTTATATTGTTGGTAAATGGTTTGTTGTTTTGACAATAAGTCTAACTCTGAAATATGTGTTACATGTACCTCTACGAAAGTGTAACCATTTATCTATCAGCAAGTTGACATGTGATATTGATTGTGTTGCTCAGTTTTCCTCTGATGTTTGTTTCTTTTAGGATCGTTTTTTGGGAAGGATGATTGACCCTGCTGAGTGTGCAGGCGGGTTCTACTTCTTCCAAGAGAAAAACACGGAGAACGAGAACACACCGTCTAGTAGTTGCAGTTTATCTCAGTTCACTGAATGTCTTATTATGTTGTTACACTGTTGTTTGAGTCACCCTAGTTCTTAATATCTAAAACAATTGTATCTGTTAATGTTTAATAATAAAAATTCTTATAATTTCAAATGTGAAACCTGT